TTAACCTCTTTGTTGAGCTCCAAAGAGAGAAACTACCATAGCAGCCCAACATTGCCTGTCTCTGATAAAATAAATGATAGATCAAGTCAAGACTAATACACTCAGAATAATCAACTCCAAATAAGTGCTTAAAGATCTGTTTTGATTATATATATTATATAATAAATAAATATTATATTTATACAATATATAAATATAATACATATTATATAACATATATACCACATAAAACATATATATATATAACATGTAGTATATATAGAATATATACTATATATAGTAGTATATATATATACACTATATTTATTATATATAGAATATATGTGGCTTTTCCAATTGTAAGACAAGGTGTCTGGGGTATCAGAGAAGTTGGCAAAGGTTCCCCTAAGAGAGCATCAATGAGCTCAGCTTATTGTGCAGAAAAGCACTGGCTTTCACCCCTGTAATGCACATCAAAGGGGCTCACAGAAGCTATTTGAAAGAGGCACCAATCATGTCTTGAGATGGAGTTTTAGATCCCATACCTCTTAGCATTGACCTTTCCTCAGTGTAAGCTGATATGGAGAAATCTGAAAAGCCCAGCACACCCTGAGAACATCAGCAGAGAGAAGAAGCAAGCAGGTTGAAAGAAGAGCATCCATCTGAAGAGGAGGAGGAGAGAAGGACTGACGTAGGGTGGCAGTCTTTGTGAACATTGCACAATTCAGAGTGACATTCTTCTTGAGGAAAGGAATTTAAATAAGTAGCAAGAGCAGTTCTGTATTGAGATGAATTTGGAAAATAAAGATTAAAAAAAGTTTTGCACAATCACAAGATGACAAGTGGAAGTGTCATGATTGGCACAATGAGGACAGAAAGTAGACACGTTTTAAAAATGAATTTATGGCACTGTTTAGAAAAGACACCTTTGTCTCTTTTATATCTTTTATTCCTCTTACACATAATATTTAGAATTCCACAGAACTCTTCTTTTTAGACTATAAAAGAGTACGATAAATGAATTTAGCAAATTCATGAATTCTAAAGAAGAGCAGGGTTAAGAAGTACAAAAAATAGGAAATTCAGTTTCTTTCATTTAGCATCTTGACACAGAAAGAGGCAAGCCATGTGTGAGTGGTTTAAGAATAGTTTCCCACTTCGAAACTCTTCTTACCCTATCCAAAAGCATCCTGGAGAAGTGCATTGCTTCCACCTGCATGGTGTTAAGAGATGTCATATTTATTCCATGGCTCAAAATCCCATTTAGTCTCCTTGGGCACCATTGCTGCCCCAACTCCACTCTTGTGGCCTAGAGAATAGAATGACTACTGGAGATGATTTCTCTATCAGATGTGATGTTCATTTCTTCTCCATTCTAAGGAGGAAGCTAGTAAGGGGAGCTGGGAATCACTAGACCAAACACGTGTTCATTTTGGAGCCCCTAAAGGAAGTGATGGAAGGGGCAATTTTAGAGGTTGGAAGACTCTGAGTAGTTGGAGGAATGAGCACAAATGTTCTGAGGTGGAATGGAATCACCCATGTTGAGGAATGGCAAAGAATGGCACAATTAGAGACGAGTAAACCAGGACTACCTAAGAGATGAGGCTGGAGGGAGCGCTAGGGCTCAGAACACTTAGCATCTGATTGTCACCTGCAGAGAGGTAGTACCCTTTGAAAGCTCGTGGCATGAGCTGCCGTGTGAAGGGGACTGTTTGGAGAATAAACTTAATGTAGCATAGGAGACTAGGTGTGGGAGATGAGTCAGGGGATGAGTACAGTAATTGGCAGGATTGTCATGGAGATGTATAGCAGCTGAGGGGCTGGTTATGGTCTGTAACCGCTCCTCTACAAGCCTGCTGCCAATGATCAGAGCCAACAACTGCCTAAGCACTTCATTGTTTGCCTAGAATCAGGCTGGCACAGAGAAGTAGGTGGAAACTGATTCCAAGGACCACTGTGTAAACCGGTGAGAGGCCTACTATTTAGCTCAGGTCCTCCCATATAGAATTCCTTTCCATAATGGCTAGCAAAGAACCAGCGTCAGCGCTCCTTTCCTAGCTTCTGTCTGGACAGCAACTCACCTGCAGCACTTAGCTGGGAAGTTTGCATATCCTAACAGCTACTGTAAAGTTTATAGGAAATTAAAAAGCCCCCTCAGATACTGAAGGGAAATAGGAAAACACTGAGATCTGAATAGTTCTGAATCTGTAGTTCAGTGAGTAGTGTTATACCAATAGCAATCACTTAACTTGATAAGTATTCCAGTCCAGGTGGGAAACAACATATTAACAGTAAAAGAAGCGAAACGGCAGCTGTATATTACCTTTGCAATGTTTCTACAAACTTAAAAATTAAAATGACTAGAAAACAAAGGTCTATTTGGGGGAAGTGTCTGAAAGGGAAATCGAGCAGAAGAGCACTAAATATTTGAACGATTTCAGAGTTTATGTTGACCCATTCTATACTTAGAGTAATTCTTGATCCACTATAAGGAAATAGGAGTATGGGAATAATAGAGTGCTTGAGGTGATAGAGGATTTGCCTACTGATTACAGGGTCCTGAATTCTATCCCAGTACCACATGAAAAGAAGTACAAAAGAAATAAGTAGTTATTAGTTATATGCAAGTAGCCAATAGTCTCTATTTCCTTATTTGAGTAAGACAAAGCAAAATTTCAAATTTAAATTCTTCATTTGCTTCTTAAGTTAAATGTATACACTTTACTTTCCTCTCAGATCTACTCTGCCTGAGGAATACTTTTCAAAACCATTCAAGAGTGAAAAGCCCTGTGGCTGGTTGATTTCTTTCCTTTCCTCCTTCTTCCAATCTTGTATATTTTCATTCTTGCTAGACAACTCCATTTTCACTGAACTAATGTAACAGAATGCAACTGGCCCCTGAACTGTATATATCCTCAGATTCTCCTTTTTCCAACCTAAATATGATCTTTATTTTCTTACTGACTTGAAGCTTTTGGGAAAAGAAATTAGCTGTCTCATTAAAACAATCTGCTTTCAGAGTCTGGTTATTTAAACTAGGTAGCAGGCAATCGACATGCGGTATGAAGCAATCAGGCACACTAGAGGAACACACACTGGCATGGCCCACTGAGCCTTAAGATGGGTTTTATTTTGATTGTTCCTGAGGGGCTCTGTCTTTTCTAGAATGAAAGCTTCAAATCTGTTTCCCACAAAGGAGCCCTATAAATACAGGTTAGTCAGGTAATGTGGGCAAATATGACTAGCTATACTTTGAAGGTAGGAACAATTTATGTTTCTACATTAAGGAGGAAAAGACTGATGAGATTTTTTTAACCCAGCATTAAGTAATAACGATACTGTTTAAGTGAATTTCTTAGATATTTGTTAGGACAACATTTAAATCATCATAGAAGTGAGACAAAAAGACTGTGAACCCAAAAACTTTAGAATGCTCTACTTAGAGGTTAAAACATTGTGATGCTTTCCACTTTTTATGTGTTCAGTTAAGCAAGCTCTTTCAAGTGTCTAAATTTCTTTGTCTTTTTTTTTGGGGGGTGTCTGGTCGTGGGGCCTGAACTCTGGGCCTGGGCGCTGTCCCTCAGCTCTTCAGCTCAAGGCGAGCACTTTACCACTTGAGCCACAGCGCCACTTCCGGCTTTTTTCTTTTTGCTTATGTGGTGCTGAGGAATCGAACTCAGGGCCTTATGCATGCAAGGCAAGCACTCTACCACTGAGCCACCTTCCCAGCCCCAAGTGTCTAAATTTCTACGTGGTTGACAAATGTTATTCATATTTCTGCCAGGTTTTAATAAAATGTCTAACGTGCAAAGGATGAGACCAAAGAAGCTGACAATGTCAGCCCCGTGCATGCACACCAGAATGAGGAGATGGAGCCCAGCACCCTTTCCCCATCATGCCTAGGGCTCTCCAGGTCGTGGCAGACAGTGGAATCTTTTTGGATGTGGTCAGTGAGATCCATCATCTATCTGACTTGCTGGACACATTTTCTATTTGAAGCTGGAGTAGCTCACTCAAGAATGATGTCAACAATGCCTGAGACTCCGGTTTCTCATTTCATGTATTAGGGTAACCTTTTGTTTCCCCTGTTTTGGACCTCACTAGGCAAGCACACTAATCCAACAGTGCCTCTCCGAACCCATACAACTACAAACCTAGGATGAAGATGAAAAGATTTCTTCAAAACACCTGCCAGTCAGCCCTGGGTTACCATGAGGCTGGTGGACTAGAGCCAAGACATACAACCAAGACTGAGTTTCTCCTTGATACCTTCTGATCAAAGCAGGTTAAATTGTTAGAACAATCCACTGTATCCCATTTTTTTTTCTGTTAGGGAAAGGCTACATGAGCAGCCTTGAATGAAAGGAACCAATGAAATAATCCTTTTTTTTTTAAATGTCAGAAGATAGATCTTCTAAATTTGGGCCACTTCCATTTAGAGTATGAAGTGAAATCATTAAAAGATGGGGCGAGTTATTGCTTCTAGAAGGAATCTGCATGGTTCCCGTGTGTCCCGTAGTTCTCTGTGTTATGGAAATGCATTTCTTCATGATTCAGAATAATGAATTTCTTCATGATTCTGGATAGGACACACTGGCTAGGAAAATAGACATACCACAGAGATCACTTGCCTTGCAGACATAAACAGCCACAGGTGTATACCTGGAAGGCAGTGAGGGATTTTGATCAGAAATCGCTGATCTCACCTGTGTTTACATGGTAGTATGGCCAATATTTCTGTTCTTTATCAGCTCCCATGGAAAATTTTTACAAATCTCCAGTGAAAACATTTTCCACATGCATTAAAAAGAGAGCCACAGTGGTTAATTGCTGTGGGTGAGGTGGCTATCTACCCTGAAGGCTGAATCTTTATTCTAGCAATTTCTCACAAGAGATGATTGCAGTTTCAGTGATTTGCAACTTAGGTGATTTCAATCAACCTTGTTTGGCTCCAGGTTTGGCAGTCCCTCTCACCACTATGAGAGACGAACCCCTAAGAGTGTGTGTGGGGGTCTCCTCACCTCCCCCCAGGCAGCAGGTGGGGGCTCCACTGGAGGGTAGTACTTAGGCACGTCCCAGGCCACCACAGCCATGAACCATTTGAAGTCTTTGCACTTGAGTTGTTTACGCAGTTCTTTCTGGGCGGAGATGTCTCCGGTGGACAGGTGCCTGTACTCTGGCCGCCGCTGGTAGATGTATTCTGCAAACTCATCCATCCAGGTCTCAGCCACCCGCTTCAGATTCTACACAGAAGAAAAGTAAAAAACCAAACAAACCAAAACACAAACACAACACAATAACAACATTGGCTTATATGCTCAAAGTGATGGTTTTAGTTTCAACAGAAATTGAAGAGAGAAAGGAATCAGGCAACCTCAGGCAATGCTGGCTGGTGGCTTATTAACACTGAGGGTTTTCATAAGGAGTGTGGTGAGCTCAGCTTGGGGCTGTGTGCGCTTTCTGCTCAGGCATGGTGCTCAGTTGCCAATGTGGCCTTTAATTTATCAGAGACAGAGTCAGCTCACAATGACGTCCATTTTCCTTCTGTTATTCCATGTTTCTATTCCTTTTTCCCCCACAAAGAAGAAAGGAATTGAAAGGAGACGAAATGGGCGGTTCCTTTTAGGTATCAAAGTGCCAAAAATACTTTGAAAAACATGTGCCAGGGAAATACAAGGACACAAAAGACAAATACACTACTGTTCTTTTTATTTCCCTCACTACATTGTGATAGCTTGACAAAACGACATTCATAACCTTGTGTTGTGATACTGTGATGTGTGGCCAACTGAGTTTAGTAATTTACTTTGTTATGAAGGAGGGTGAAGGAAGCATCACCTTCTCTGCAGGTGATCTTTGGGGGTGAAGGAAGCCTTAAGTTGCTGGTAGGGAAATAAGCACATACTTTAGGAATACGAAGGTATGTGGACTGAAAGAAAGAAGGAACACCAATCTTCCTGGCAGTTTAGAACTGAGCAAGTTATATACCCACATTAGGTTTATCTGAGAGTGACAAAATTAACATCTCTCTCTCTCATCTCTCTCCTTCTTTCCCCCCTCCCTCCCTGCCTCTCTCCATCTCTCTCTCTCTTACACACACACACACACACACACACACACACACACACGCACGCGCACACACACACATCATGGGGATGTTGTAGGATTATGTCTGGGAACTACTGATCCCAGCTACTCAGGAGGCAGAGACAGGAGGATAACAGTTTGTAGCTAGCCCAAGCAAAAGTAAATGAGATCCTATGTCAAAAGAAGCTGGGCTTGGTGCAATCTTGTGGAAGGCAGAGGTAGATCTAATACTGGTTGGGAAAAAGTGCAAGATCCTATCAGAAAAACTAAAGCTACAAAACTATAAGAGCATGGCTAAAGTTGGGGAATGTTTGCTTAGAAAGAGCTGTAGCATTGAGTGCAATCCCAAGTACTTAAATATATATATATATATACATATACATATATATTAAGGTAATGTTTGGAAATGTTTCTGAATGGTACTTGGAACATAGTAAATACTATGAAAACCAGATCTTTTATTACATTATTTATTAATAATTAAATAATATAATATTTATTATATTATTAGTAGTAGAACGAGTGCACAATGGAAGAATGGAAGAATCTGAGGATTGGGGTTGGCCATACAAAATGTGGCCATTGCTCGGGCCTTTGAGAAGCGATGCGTGGAGAGGAGATGCTCTTTGACATTCCTTGGAGTTCTATCAGGGTAAGTGGAAGAGAGAGTTGTTGCTTTTGAGTTGTTGCTTCCCCCTGGGAACCTCGTTTTCATAGGAGTCTTAAAAACTCTGATTTCTCTTTTCAGTTCAGGTTCAAGAAAATATCTTTCCAGTTCCAGTTCCAGTTCAAATTCCTTATTTTAAGTGCATGGTTGGCATGAACACTGACCTCATCCATTGATTCATTTGCACATAGAGAACAAAATGACCAGGAAGATTGAGAACTCGACTAAGATCCAGACTCGAGTGAAGACAGTAAAAAGAAAAAAAAAAACCGAATGATATTTAAGAAAATCAGAAAGATTGCTAGGAAACTTTAATTCAGACCCGGAACCATGCCAGAGGTATTCTGGGTATGGAGTCACAGTTATTGACATCTTAGTCCTAATGGGATTTTATACTCTGCCTCCAGCGTCTCTGGATGGACTGCTTGCTGTCTGCCCTTTTCCCGCTCCACGGTGTCTATGGATTTCTTGGTTACTTTTGCTTGATGGTGGGCTCAAATCAGCTCTCAGTCATTATAACAAGATTCAAAAGGAGAGGCAGAGCCATGATGATTGTTCCAATTTCTTGGCTTCTTCTTTTCCTTTCTTAGAGTGTCAGTGTCAGTGTCTTGCACTGACAATGCAAGAACCGGCTCCTGAGGGATTATTATTTGTCATTGTTTGATTACTAATATGTTACAGAATTGTGTTACCAATAACAGCCCCCTCAGTGTATTTTGACAGATACTCAGAATAAATCCAGATATGCAGAATCGATCAGGTTTGGAATATTCTAGCTCTGACCACTAATTCTGAATTATCCACTCACTAGTGTTTGCAGGCCTCTGCTCTGTGATAGATGGCTCCTTACACACACACACACACACACACACACACACACACACACACACACACACACACACACACACACACACACACACAGAGGAAACCCAAATGTGTAGTGTTCTTGCTATCTTGTCATTTATATTTCATTTTGACAGGCATTTTACAGGAAATGCAATTTGCTTTTTAATTTGTCCTCAGACAATTTTTCTTAGAGTTAGCAAAAAAGATGCAAAGGTGGAATTAAAGAATCAGTTGATAATATTGCAACCTTATAAACAAAGTTGACGTTAGATATAATCCCCAACTGGTTTTTTTCCCCCTGAACTACAATTATTACAAAACTAAAGTAGAAATATCTATTTTTTCACTTTACTGCATCTCTCCGGTTCTATGCTTGTGGTATACTTCACTATAAACCCAGTCTTTATGTTCCTGTTCCTGGCTTTATGGCTAGGACTGTTCAAGGGACCCTGGGCCTATGGCATCTTGCTTATTGTCTTAGCCTCTCAGCTCTCTAGATTTATTTTTTCAAAAAAATTATATGTTTTGTGTCTCTTGTCTGGTTCTAAGCATATTTGTGTGCTCATCTGAGCATGTGGTTAGATTAAGAAAGCAATCATATTGTAAGTTGAATGTGAACTCATTCATAACATGTGTATTTATCTATTGAGGGAAGCAGTGAAATAAAAACAATTAAAAAGGGCTGGGAAGGTGGCTCAGTGGTAGAGTGCTTGCCTTGCATGCATGAGGCCCTGGGTTCGATTCCTCAGCACCACATAAGCAGAAAAAGCTGGAAGTGGCGCTGTGGCTCAAGTGAGCTGAAGAGCTGAGGGACAGTGCCCAGGCCCAGAGTTCAGGCCTCACGACCAGCAAAAATAAATAAATAAAAATTAAAAAAAAATTAAAAAATTAAAAATTAAATCATTTAGCTGGGTGCTGGTGGCTCACTCCTGAAATGCTAGCTACTCAGGAGGCTGAGATCTGAGGATGGAGGTTCAAAGCCAGCCCAGGCAGGAAAGACTGTGAGATTCTTATCTCCAATAAACCACTAGAAAACTGGAAGTGGCGCAATGGCTCAAGCGGTAGAGTGCTCGCCTCGAGCTGAAGAGCTCAGGGACAGTGCCCAAGCCCAGAGTTCAAGCCCCATGACTGACCAAAAAAAAAAAAAATTAAACCATTTGTCATACTGAAGATGTAGCTCAGTGGTACAGTACTCATTCAGCATGTACAAGGCACTGGGTTCAATCTCCAGCAAACCAAACACACACACACACACACACACTGTAAATTTTTGTTTATTGTTTGTTTCTAAACAGAATTGGTGGTACTGATTAATTCTGATTGATTCATTTGGGAAAGGCTCAAGGAGTGATGATAAGTATTAGGCAGCAATAAGAAAAAGGGTGGATGGCAGCAGGTGGATAAATGGTCAACGCCAGCAAAGCTGTAAAGAAGCTGGGCTGGAGGATTCACCAGTTAGCTCTGATTATTACATCCTTTTCAAAGTGGAGAGGAGCAGGATGATGGACATGTGCCAGACAGAATGTCAAATCCTTGATTCCTTTCCTGTAGTCCTCCAGGAGATGATAAAAGAGAAACAGCCTACCAGTCCCCAAACCCGAAACTGCTTGTTTGTCCCTTTCACCGACACTTAAAAATTAAATAACATGTCTTGTCCCCGATCACCCATTCTGACCATTTTGGAATACATACAGGTGCTCTGTTGTCTGAAGAGAATTTCCTCTCAGCAGGGAATTTTCTTAAATATCAATTGTTATGATCAAGGACGATCTAGGTGGCAGGCTGCATAAAGTCATCATTCTAGAGATAACAATCCACTGGGTGCATTTGCTCCTGTCATCATGAATCTGTGCTTCATTTCGGGAAGACCACAGGAATGCAGAGAACTTCTCAAGCAGTAGCAAGAAGACTTTGGTTCGTCTTTCATACACTGTAGAATAAATTAATTCCCTTCAAGAAGTAGTCGTAATCATACACACGTTGGGGTCCACAGGTGTATTTAGACAGGAGCATATATTGCACATTGAAATGCACAGAGGGAATGGGACTGATGCAAAACTGTATTATTCACTTAAGTATTCATAGCCGTGTCAACTTGCAGAGTCATGAAATGGAGACACCCCCGTAACATCTCTTGCTAGAGATGGCAAAAAAAAAGAGTTCTAGTTTTTCCATCTGACCCTGAGATTGGATGAATTTTGAGAAAGGTGATGATTTGCCCAAAAAAGATAGATATTAAGAGAAAAAGAATAGAGTTTGGAGACTTGGAGATCTATACATGGAATCATTTTTCCTGAACTATCAGAGGTTGTATCTGTAGAGCTTGTCTTATATACACAGAGCCCGGTTGTTTACTAGATTTCCTATTTGTTTGATATTTATTTAAAGTATTTTTTTCAGATAAAGTCTCCTGTTTTTGTCTAGGCTTATATCAGACTGTGGCCTTCCTACTTTCTGTGTAGTTGGGACTATAATAACGAACTACGAAACTCTTCTTATTTGTTGAGATGGGTCTCACTAACTTTTTTCCCCTTTGGTCTGGACTGACTCCTAACTACATCCTCCAGATTATCTGCGTCTGAGTAGTGGGGATTACAGGCCTGAACCATATTGTCCTTAAATTTTTAAATGAATGTGCTTTTT